AAATTACATATAGATCCTATGGACAGAGTGCAAAGTGGTTATTCCTATAAATAATGTACATTAAATGCTTTGTGTGCACAATGACGCTATAATAAACAAATATATACTTGCTAAATTATTTTTAATCATCCAAAAGATTTTTTTTTTTTCAATAGATAAGGATAATCAAAATTTTATATTGGTGTGTAAAATTAAAACCGGATCCGTAAAAGTGTGGGCCTGCCTTAAAGTAATTGTTTAGATATTCTTACACGCTGTCGTTTTCATTCATTTTTCAAAACATAGGGTGACCTTTGAGTACTAAGCTTTTTCACTGTCAAACGTTTCTTTAAAACAATGTGAACTACTCCCGAAATGATGTCTATCAAATTTGCTATGTGTCTTAAAGTCAATCATACATCATCAGTGATTATTCGTTGAAAATTGGCAAACAGTACATAAGTTGTAATAATTTCTGTTGGCAAGGACGGTACCCATTTTTGATGCCCATTATATAATTCTTTATCATTTAAATCTCTATAAAACAGACATTAGTTGCCGTAAATGTTACATATTTCAGTGAATATTTCTTTGGGATTCTTAACGAGTTTTACAGCAGCTTGAATGATACGTTTAATTTCACTCTAGTTTGTTGATTCTTTACCATTCATTTTACATGCAGTGTCTCGAATAGCTCTTGTTTTCCAGATTCTCACAATGAAACTATGTGATGAAATGTGGTCACATAAATTGTTATAAATTCATTAAAGATTCAATAATGCGAAAAAATCAAGCTTAATGTCATATGATATCTGTATTGTATCTCATATAGTTCAGAACATTAGTTATTGAAAGCCCTCGTATATCCAAGAAAATGCAAAAATAGGGCGGTGTCGATCATTAAAAAAAATTCCTCTATAGAACCAACGGGTCAGAAAAGATGAAACTTATGTGGAAGCTTCCCGAGGAATTGGAGATTCTAAATCGTTCAATATGGAGTAAACGTTTTACAATGAAATATATAGTAAAAATCTTAAAATCATCTCAGGAACCACTTGGCAAGAAAAGATGAAACTTATGCAGAAGAATCCTGGGGTAGTATAAATTCTAGAAATTGTTGAACTCATTCCCTAAGGGATAGACTGAGGCTCAAAACAAGAACTTAGTTTTACAATGAAATATATATATGAGAATATACTTAAGTCTTATTCTCAAGAACAACTGCACGGGCCATAAAAGATGGAACTTCTGTATAAGTATCCTGGGGCCGTATAGTTCCTAAATTAAGTGTTGATATCATGGGATAGGGCGGGGCCATAACTTTATCCGTTGTTTCTTGTTATCGTCGTAAACTTTTCTCATTTTCATATCCTTCAGGCTTCCTCAAAACCACTGGGCCTCTTTCATCTAAACTTGATAGAGAGTATTCTTGGGTAAAGGGGATTCAAATGTGTTCAAATGAAGGGTCGTATACCTTCTTGAAAGGGGAAATAATTGAGAAAAAAGATATTGGGTGGGATCTTTTAAAAATCTTCTCAGCTAAATAAATGATAAAACTTATGTGAAAGCTTCCTGATATAAAGTGGATTCAGTTTTGTTCAAATAATGATTCCTAATTAGGGTAGGGTGGGGCCGCAATAAGCGATCAAAATTTTAGGAAAACATGGGAAAAATCTTTTATACTCACAAAAACATTAACGGACATTAATTACAATGTATATGAAAGCATCCTTGGCTAATGTAGATTCCAATTTGTTCAAGTTTAGAGTTAACTCACGTTTGAATGATTTCTTTTAAGGAAGCTCTAAACACTGACAGAAACTGTTTTTTGGACTCGGAGAAAAATATATCATATAAAGATATGCATATTGAAACTTTTTCATTCATCATTCATTTAGGACATAGGGTACGTGCCTTATATCCGCAGAAAAAAATGTTCAAAGACAATGGACTATTTGTAAGCAGATATCAATGTTGTTTACTTACATTAGGAAAATTAATGAAAACTAGTGGGTATTGTTTTTTTTAACAAAAAGAACCAAATCTCCCCTTCTTTACCAACATTTAAAAATGCAGTTTTACTATCAAGGTCAAAAATAATAATGCAGTGCATCTTTCAAGTATTTAAAAGGATTTCAAGTTATGGTCTGGTCTTGTTTTTTTCTTAATTTATCCTTGAATGAAGAAAGTGGTCAAGGTCAAATAATTTGTTGTAGTGTATTTAGGCTTAACTTTGTCTTTACTTGTTCCAAGTTTAAAACCCTAATGTCAAGAAAGGTCTCAAATTATGACTTAGGATATATTTCATATGAACATTTGACCTTGATCTAATGATAACTGGATCAAGGTAAAAAATTTTGATCACATAGACTCTCCATCTATGTGTCCTCTGCATGTTACAAGTTTGAAGTCTAAATGTCAAAAGGTTCTCAAGTTATGGTCAAAACATGTTTTTTCTCTTTTTGACCTTGAAGAAAGGGGTCAAGGTCAAAGTCCTAGTGCGCTAGATCTTTGATTAAATGTCTTCTTTTTATGTTACAAGACCTAATATCAAAGGGTACTCAACCTATGACCTTAACTCTATTTTGATGTGAATGTTTGACCTTGACCTAATAATATTGGATCAAGGTCAAATATTTTGATCACATACACCCTTCTCCAATGTGTCCTCTGCATATTCCCTGTTTGAAGTCTAAATGTCAAAGGAATCTCAAGTTATGGTCAAACATGTTTTTTTTCCTCTATTTGACCTTGAACAAAGAAAGGGGTCAAGGTCAAAGTTCTGGTGCACTGTATCTTGTATTTAATGTCTTCTTTCTATGTTTAAAGTGTGAAGTCCTAATATCAAAGGGTATTCAAGCTATGGCCTAAACTCTATTTTGATGTTAAAGTTTGACCTTGACCTTATAAACATTGGATCAGGGTCAAAAATGTTGATCACATACACCCTTCTTCTACGTGTCCTCTGCATATTCCAAGTTTGAAGTCTAAATGTCAAAGGTATCTCAAGTTATGGTCAAATCGTGTTCTGGTACACTACATCTTGTATTTAATGTCTTCTTTCTATATTATAAGTTTGAAGTCCTAATATTAAAGGGTAGTGAAGCTATTGCCAAAAGTCTATTTTAATGTAAACGTTTGACCTTGACCTTATAAATAGATCAAGGTAAAAAAAAAAATGGTGGCATACACTCCTCCTCAAGGTCATCTATTTATATTTTAAATATGAAGTCTTCAGGTCAAAGGGTATTCAAGTTACGGCCTGGACAAAATTTGGATGAAGAAAAATAATGAGAAGAATAAGAAAATCGACAAAAACAATATGTCTCCCCTTTGGAAGGGGAGACATAATAATTAATAAGACTTCTTACTCTTGGTCTTATACAATGCTAAAAATATCTTAATCTATTTCAAATCATGTCATTAAATGTAAATAACGATTTTTTTAGTCTTACATCTAAGGGCAAATCACTCTAGATAACTGCATAAAACTACCCTATAAATAGAGCTCTTTGGTGTGCAGTGTTCAGAGCTTCCTTAAGCTGACAGGGCGGCAGGAAACAATTCCACTTTACTAGTAATTTTCGTTTTTGCACAATCAAACATTTTTAGGTGAACGGGGTTACCAAGCAAAAATTCCTTGACAATTAAGAACAAGAAAATCATCCTTCAATTCCCAAGACTTTGTCACTTCATTCATCAGGCAAATTCTTAATTGTATCTCTTTTCAAACATGTATATGGTCATGTGCATTCCGAGTTTTTCTACATATAATCTGTACACATGTAATTCTTATTGAACAACATACTAAATACACCTCTGTACCTTATTTTGATTATATGAAATTATAAATATTTAACACTTGATTCTGTAAATAACTGACATTTATTACATTTATATAACATTTTTTTCGGTTTTCCTCCAAACTATTCTTCTGTCCTTCCATCAAGCTTTTGTTTGTTTTCACCAAATGGATTTTTTAGCACCCTAAAACAAATTTAATACATGTACACTAAGTTAAGATAAAAAATAACCCATAAAGATTAAATAATTTTATCCACAAACAAAATAAAAATAAAATTTGGGTTTAAGGTCATTAAACAGAAATTTTACCTTAAAATAGTCAACACCAAAGAAGAAGAGCTTTCTAGGGCCAAACAGGCCATCATCATCATCGTAATCATCATCTTCACGTTCATTATCACTGTTAATGTATTCATCAGCAATGTCTTTCTTCAGACGCTGGGAAATGTAGAATTGTCACATTGCTATTTCATACACATGTACATATAGTGTAAGAATTCCATACAACAAATATACTAGTATTAAAAAAAATCTGTGAAAAGATAGAAAAGAAATATTCAATTTAGACAGGCACCTCTTAAAATTTCCTTCCGTTTCACTTTATAGATTAAATAAATAATTATATAAGTTTTGAAAATTTTATGCAATACCTCAAGCAATAATGATTTCTCTGTAATGATTGGAGTATCTTGATTCCTTGACACCTTCAGACATTCTGGATCTGTTGATGATCCAAGGTTTGGTGACTTCTTTTCCACTGGGATAAGCTGGACTGACTTTTTTTTCTCTGTGATAAGCTCAACTGACTTTTTCTCTGTGATAAGCTGGGCTGACATCTTTTCCTCTGTGATAAGCTCAGCTGACTTCTTTTCATCTGTGATAAGCTCGGCTGACTTCTTTTCCTCTGTGATAAGCTCAGCTGACTTCTTTTCATCTGTGATAAGCTTGGCTGACTTTTCCTCTGTGATAAGCTGGGCTGACTTTTCCTCTGTGATAAACTCGGCTGACTTTTCTTCTGGGATAAGCTGGGCTGACATCTTTTTCTCTTTGATAAGCTCAACTGACTTTTTCTCTGTGATAAGCTGGGCTGACTTTTCCTCTGAGATAAGCTGGGCTGACTTCTTTTCCTCAGTGATAAGCTCGGCTGACTTCTTTTCAACTGTGATAAGCTCGGCTGACTTCTTTTCCTCTGTGATAAGCTGGGCTGACTTTTCCTCTTAGATAAGCTCGGCTGACTTCTCTTCTGTGATAAGCTCGGCTGACTTTTTTTCCTCTGTGATAAGCTGGGCTGACTTTTCCTCTGTGATATGCTGGGCTGACTTTTCCTCTAACATAAGCTGGGCTGACTTTTTCTCTGGGATAAGCTCGGCTGACTTTTCCTCTGGGATAAGCTTGGCTGACTTTTCCTCTGTGATAAGCTGGGCTGACTTTTTCTCAGTGATAAGCTGGGCTGACTTCAATTTCTTTTTAAAAAGCTGGGCTGACTTCTTTTCCTCTGTGATAAGCCGGGCTGACTTCTTTTCATCTGTGATAAGCTTGGCTGACTTCTTTTCATCTGTGATAAGCTGGGCTGACTTCTTTTTATCTGTGATAAGCTGGGCTGACTTTTCCTCTGTGATAAGCTGTGCTGACTTTTCCTCTGTGATAAGCTGGGCTGATTTTTCCTCTGTGATAAGCTCGGCTGACTTCTTTTCCTCTATGATAAGCTCGGCTGACTTTTCCTCTGTGATAACCTGGGCTGACTTTTCCTCTGTGATAAGCTTGGCTGACTTCTTTTCCTCTGTGATAAGCTCGGCTGACTTTTCCTCTGGGGTAAGCTGGGTTGACTTTTCCTCAGTGATAAGATCGGCTGACTTCTTTACCTCTCTGATAAGCTCGGCTAACTTTTCCTCTGTGATAAGCTCGACTGACTTATTTTCCTCTGTGATAAGCTGGGCTGACTTCTTTTCTTCTGTGATGACTTGACTTTTTTTCCTCTGTGATAAGCTGACTTCTTTTCCTCTCTGGCTGACTTCTTTGACTTCTTTTCTATTGTGATAACCTGGGCTGACTTCTTTTCCTCTATGATAAGCTCAGCTGACTTCTTTACATCTGTGATAAGCTCGGCTGACTTCTCTTTATCTGTGATAAGCTTGGCTGATTTCTTTTCATCTGTGATAAGCTTGGCTGACTTCTTTTTCTCTGTGATAAGCTGGGCTGACTTTCCCTCTGGGATAAGCTTGGCTGACTTTTCCTCTGTGATAAGCTTGGCTGACTTTTCCTCAGTGATAAGCTCAGAAGAATTTTCCTCTGTGATAAGCTTGGCTGACTTTTTCTCTGTGATAAGCTCGGCTGACTTCTTTTCCTCTTTGATAAGCTTGGCTGACTTCTTTTCCTCTGTGATAAGCTTGGCTGACTTCTTTTCCTCTGTGATAAGCTGGACTGACTTCTTTTCCTCTGTGATAAGCTGGACTGACTTCTTTTCCTCTGTGATAAGCTCGGTTGACTTCTTTTCTGCTGGGATAACCTGTTTATCTGCTTTTCTTAGCTCTGCTAACTTTATCCTTTCCATGGGAGACTGTTTTTCTGTTAGACCAGCGTTTGTAATTTTTAGGCCCTCTTTAAGAAAATCTCTCTTGTGATATTCATTCACATTGTTTCTTTGTTCTGTTGAAGGTGGTTTGAAGATCTAAAAAAAAAATAGGTACATAGATGTAATTTTATTGTCTTGTTTTACTGAATGCAAGAAAATAATCAGTTAAAAGAAATTCAAGAAGGAAAAAATGTTCCTGATAAATTAATATAAACATGTATAATGTACATTTATTCATTTATACATGAACTGTTATCTGTATGTAAGAATGAACACTTTACCTCTTGTTTTATTCTGCGAGAATAGTTTTGTCTTTTTACTGAAGTGTTTGGCAGCTTCTTTGCATCATATCTCTTTTCCCTAAAAAATGAAAAGGGGTTTTTGTACTGCACTAGACACTGAAACATTAGTGACATCCATGTATTTAATGAAGGACAGTGTGGATAAGATCAATACATGTATTGTAAACATTTTTTGCAATGATGTTTTTATTATTATATTTTCAAGTCTATAGAATGATGAAATATATTATAAACAAATTGTGGTGCCAAAAATTCAAATTAAAAAGAAAAGATTTTGTTAAAATTGTTTATTTTAAATTTAATTAATTATCTTCAGTCAGATTTTGTTTAATCCAAGTACAGAGCTATAAATTATTTACAGTACAAAATCAAAAATATTCTAATGTCACTGAAATTAAAAGACCATAACAATAAATTGAATCAGTACCTGAAGTTGTTTTTTCTGTTTTCTTCTATGAGTCTGCTCAAGTCTGTTTCTCTCCACTCCAGTTCTCTGTCCCACAGTTTTAGCTAACTGTAAATAAAACAAAGGCAAAATTACCCAAAGTTAAACAGTGGTATGCATCATTGAAACCCCCATTGAATAAATTTGAATGGACTAAAATACCTCAGTTCTTCTTTCCTCTTCCTCAACTCTCTCTGCCCATGAATGGTCAAACTTCAAAATCTGAAGCTTTGTTCTCTGTAAGTAAAGAATAAATACTGGTACATCTACATGGAAATAATAAATAAGGGCATAGAGTGTGGGACTTTTGTCATGTATATGGTGATATATAATTATGTTCAGGATTTTTATCAATTTTAAATCAAGAATAATTTTAAAAAGTAACTCAGAAATGACTTACCCAATCTTTAACAGGTTCATCGCTAAAATCTGTTTCCTCTCTGTGTAGAGAAATACAATGTTTAAGTTATTCTGGTAATCTCAATACTAGCTCTACATAAAATTAAGAAGGATTGAAATGTATGTCAAAACTATATGATGTGTTGATATTAGATTGCTCTTTGACTGTTCTCCTGTTATCTCTTTATTCAGCACTTTTTCCATGTCTTCTTGTTGCTTTTGGGCCTAAAATATCAAAGTAAATAAAATGACCATGCCCACCTTTACAGATAACCTTTTTTTTTTCTATTTTTTAAAGAGTGGCAATTTTAAACTTTGTTTTATAATTTTATAACAAGCATGCCAATAAAGAAATCATTTGAATTTCAAAATAAATTTTCTTCCCTTATTTTAATCATAAATTTTGTGACAAATCTACTACATGTCTATGCATTTTACTCTCTAGTCACCTCCATAAGTCTCTCCTGCTCTTCAACGGCATCTGCCCAACTTTAACTAAATTTCCAGATCTTTAGTTTTGAGTCCTAAAAAAATTGATAGAGGATAAACAAATACTCATCAAATTCAAAATTTAAAACGTGGAGTGGTGATATAATTCATAAAAAAGATTAAATATCATGAAAAGCAGTGTATTAAAAGTAAACCCCCACCCCCTCCCCCTCTTGCTAGCAGATGTACATTTGTTGCAAATGTAGATCCTTTTAGTTTTTAAATCATATCAATGATTATGCATTCGACAACCATTTTTTTTTTTAAAATTCAAAAACGATATTTTAAAATCTGACAGTTCAGTTACTGCATGTATTTGTCACAGGCACCTGACGTTACTAATTTTTCTTTTAATAAAAGAGATATTTGTGTAAGTACGTTAAACTCACAACATCTGTGACAGCACTGTCCCCAAAATATAAAATCTCATTCCAATCCATGTCCATAGTTGCTTGCCTTGCTACATAAAGAAACAATATTATTATACCTCATTATAAATATTTTAAACAACGCGTTATCTGATTGGTTCTAGGTTATCACGTGATCGGGTCGTAAAACTTCATATTTTCATTGTCGTCGGCTTGCTTTTCATCATATTCCACCTCTTCGGATACCTAGTGTATTTTCCCGCAAAAATTATCGTTCGTTAAAGAAACTCCCGAGAGTATGGTAGACGTCACAATAACCTGGATTACGTCATAGAACTAATGATAATGTGTTGACCAAAGAGTTTTAGTAACGTTTTGTTAGAAATGAAAGTGAATTTGAGAGCGGTGCCAAATTTGAAAGTTTATGTTTATTTCAAAGGTTTTGCTTGTTTCGGTATAATAAACAATTCATTGCATGGATGTTCGGGAAACATGAAGACTTATTCAGCCAAGAAAAATCATATTTCCCTCGGGCGAAGCCCTCGGGGAATATGATTTTTCTTGGCTGAATAAGTCTTCATATTTCCCTCACTATCATGCAATAAATGTATAATATTTCTCAGAAATTTTAAAATACCATGAACTATGTTATCTAAAAATAATTCTGACAAGAAGAATTATAACAAAGTTCTGGACTAAATTTACCTTCTACTTCCAAAGTCAACACTGTTTTGTTTTGTTTAGTGATGATTGTTACGTCACAATATTTGTGACGTTTGATCACGTGATAATTTAATTATGACGTCAGACTAGCAGAAAAAATTCAGCAAGAATAAAAGGTTTTTTTTTTAAATTGCCTTTACATTGCATTGTAACTTATTGTTGTAGGATTGAGGTGATTTTTGATATGTTTGTCAGCAACTGAGTTGAATTTCTAAAAAAAAAAAAAAAATGATCCCAGGTGAAAAACTTTGGATTTAAAATTATTTCCTTTAAAACTTACAAAGTTTTTAAAGTGTCGAATGTTGGATAATAAAATACGTATCTATCGGTGCCGATTTCAAACACTGAACTCTTACACTTGAAGAAAAAAAAACACTGTTTAGTTTTAAAGAGACACAAGAGAGAAAAAATATTTCTACTCACTTTTTCCTTTTGTTAGGTTGTGAAGTCAATAAAATTGTGACGTAAACAAACAAATAAACGTAAGCAAACCTCCTCCAAAACGTCACAAGTAGCCATAGAGAAATGTGTATTACATGTATCGGGAAGTTCTTGATCAAACCGTCCTTCGCTGAAAAAATGTTCATAATTCAACTATAGAACTGAAGGTTTCAATTAAATAAGCTTGAATCCTGTAAAATTGCACCTTTTTTCAGCGTGTTTGTGATTAATATGTGTCTACATGAATTTAAAGCCGTAATATTTTTAAGTTTATCCATACCTTAACTTGAAAACATTATTTGGAAAATACATACTCGAAAAATGATAAAATAAATTGTATAACATAATTAACTTAAATAAGATATCCTATTTGATCTTATAATTTAAACAAGATTAATATAAACGATATTTCCTGACATCGTCTCATGTACATGTATTTTTTTTTCTTGAAGCATTTGAAAGCATTTCAAACTTTACTAATAGTAACTAGAGGTACTGAACTCACTAAATGATACCCCCGCCTCCCATATGGTTATAATAGCAAAGTCCGTGTTTTGCTGTGGCCCGGAAACCCAAAATATGCGTCGGATCAAAAAGTAAAATGGGAGGTGCATAATGGCAATATGTAATAAAGATTCTGTGAAAGTATCATTAAATTTCATTCAGTGGTATAAGAGGAGTTGCGAATAAGAGATGGGTACCCCAAAGCGTAACAGACAGACGGACGGACGTACAGCTAGACGTACAGACAGACGGACAGACGGACGGACGACGGACAAAATGTGATCAGAAAAGCTCACTTGAGCCTTCGGCTCAGGTGAGCTAAAAACGAATCTTGAAAAGGCAAAAACCATGGATTTCTTGAAATATCAGAGATTAGAACCTGGGGGTCGTAACATAAAAAGTACTTAAGTCTAAGACCATACTTAAGTACAACATAAGTACATTATTTGTCTTAAGTCCGTATCATAAAGGATGCTAAGAAATACAAATCTTAGCAAAACTTAGGCGATCAACATAGGTGACTTAAGTGCGTGTTATACAGAACCTGAACACATTATACGTAAAACTGAAAATTAAACGATGAATGTTTTAATTATTTCATTTGTTATTAATTAATAAGATAATCTAATACCTCTTCAAGTCAATAAATAGCAATTATGTCTTGTGTACATGTATATAGCAATTTTAACATATACATGAAGCAAAATAACCCTAAAGGATATACATGTGTGTACTTTAATTATGATTGAAAATTAATGATAGGTTAATTTGGCCGGTAATCACAGAGAAACTGAGAGTAGTATTCAGAGGTCTGTGAATAAGACACAGTTAAACACTATTCACAATAGATATTAGAAGTTTAGTTCGAACACACAAATATTACACGAATGGCGTCTGCTTATATATTTCTACAAAATGGTAGGAAAAAGAACGATGCTCTGATGGAATAGAAGGCTGTAAATATGGGGTCATCATCCATGGTCTTAGTGGATATGCTGAATCACCCAAGAGCCATCCCACGCTAATTTCACCTAAATAAAATATTCATGTATCTATTAACATTTTAAAATTGTATGATGTTGAGTTAGCAGTTAAGGACCCCCCCCCCTCCCTCACACACACACACACACATATATATTTTCAAACTTAACATTTTACTTTTTAATTTTATCATATCTTAATCATAGTATTAAAATTGATTGTGTTTAAGAGAAAAATGAGTTGGAAAAAAAATGGAGCATAACACTACCAACTCTTTTTTGTTCGATTTCCCTATTTTAATTTAAACAAGAATGTGATATGTATAAAGAAGGAGGGCGTATAAGGCGTGTACAATCCCCCGCTATGAGACAAAATTTTCTCAATTTTCAAAATTCACCAAAAATTTATATTTTTTCTAAAATCATGTTCTCAGTAATGTCATCTTCATAAGAAATTATTATTTTATTTTACTGAACGACTTATCATTTGATAATCTTTATCTCAAAGTTGACAGTTAAGCATATTTAGTGGAAAATGGGTTTAATAAAGCTATAAACAACGAATTTTGAACATGAATGGGTCAAGTCTCCATTCTTCATGAACGCTTAAATGATGGAAACGTAAATGTGAAATCTATTTGTCAAAAAAAATGGAATCTGAACCCATTCTATATGAAAATCGAACTTTTCTGAAAAAAAATTTACGCGTAGTAGTTAAAGCGGTTGGTCATGGATCAAACCTACGCTATGGAGAGAGTTCGAATCATACGTGAAGCTTTTTCTTTTTTGTTTTCAAATGTCTTAAAAACATGAGTAAAAGATAAATTATAAATAAATTATTAAAACAATGAAATACAAAATTTGATATGTTAAAGATTATATAAATCATAAAATTTTGAAAAAATACTACTTTTAGAATTGAAAAAAAAGTCTTTTTTTCAGAGCGGGGGATTGTTCTCGCCTTATACGCCTCCATTCTTATTATCATGAAATACTATAGTATTATGCTCGTCATATGAGAAACTCTATTGAAAGATCATGTTTTGGTGTGTGGAAGAGCCGTTTTCGCTGTCTTGATAAAACTGGAGGTCCTCTGTTATTTCATCCTTCAAATGCATGCAAGGTACAAACAAATAACTTTATGAAAATATCAAATGTATATTTTTAAAACCTTTAAAAATTTGATATACTATATTAAATGTTCCCTCCAATTTAAGGTGATCGTTGCGACAGCGGTTTTGCACAATATGTGCATCAATCACAGGATACACTTGCCATTATCTTCCGTAAACGAAAAGCAAACCCCAGTGAAAAAGAACGTGACGGAATTTTTTAAAGACTAAAAGTCCCTTGGGACAATTGTGACAATAGCCAAGAGTGATTAAAGAAGTAAAAAATATTCAGTCTGTGAGTAAATATCACACTTACATGTAATAACCAATGCTACATTATGAACTTTTACACTGTATAATATTTTAATTCAATACATAAGTATGACTTAGCTAAGATCTTGCTTAGTTCGCTTTATGTTACGGTATAAGACATACTTAAGTAGTACTTATGTAGGTCCTAAAAATGTGCTTAACGCGTACTTAAGACCGTGCTTAAGTCAAAAACTTAGCATGCTTTATGTTACGACCCCCTGGTGCCTAAGAGGAGTAAATATCCGTCGGGAGGCCTTTGTAATGATCAGGTAATTACATAGTACTCCATTGTCAAACAAGGTATAAAACTAGAGGTTCTTTGAGTACTGAGCTAACTAAATGGTACCCCTCGCCTCCTATATAATTATAATGGCAAAGTTCATGTTTTGCTCTAGGAGACTCGAAATGAGTGTCAGAGCAAAAAGTCGAATTGGAGGTGCACAAGCTAACAAAGATTCCGTGAAAGTATCATGAAATTTTATTCAGTGGTATGAGAGGGGTTGCGGATAAGAGATGGGCACCCTTCAATATCAAAGAAAGAATGGCAGTGTCCATGTTTTGCTTTGGGAAATCTGAAATATTTGTCCGATCAAAAAGTAAAATAAGAGATGTACAATGGCACTATGTAACAAAGATTCTGTGAAAGTCTCATTAAATTTTATTTAATGAGCTCATTGCTCACTATATATATAGTTTAAAACTCTATGTTAAAGAATAAGTAAAGAAATTTTAATTCAAAGAAGATTTATACGGATCATTTGTAAAAATGGCTAACGAGCGTTAAAAAAAATTAAACACCTGCATAGATGTTTATACGTCAATAAATGATCGCATTTTTGATACCTGTTTTCAATTACTTATGCTAAATCAATATTGCATTGCTTTCAAGGGGAATGTTCCAAAAAAGTATTAAAATACAAATAATTCTTTTGATTTACAGATTCTCCATTTCGAATACTAGTAATCCAAAACCTTTCTCGACTATGGAAAAAGTACTGAATTCATCACTATAAAATATAGTCTACGTTTGTGGAAATGATTTTGTTGAAAGAAGATGTAAACCAGTTTCTTGCATGAGCTATTTTACAAGAACTTTGGGCACAATAAAAGTTCTGAACATATATAAACATGTATGCAGTCATAAAAGACAGCGTTTTAAATTTTGTTTTGCTAGAGTAACTTTACACCTTGTTTCGATTTATCATTTGTTCTTAGAGGTTTAAATCAAGTTGTTATCGGAAAATATAGATATTTACTCGATCGTCCTTAAATCAGGAAGTAGAATTCCCATTTTGATAACGAAAATATATACCATAGTTATCCTATGAGTAAAATTAGTTTTTGTGAGGATTATGAACAATGGCCTTGGTGTTGGGACAAAACAGAGTAGGAATAGCACAGACTGATAACCCTACTACCGTACCTAATCATCCGATCGCACGACTGATGTTCTATTTTGACTGTATTTGCACTGTTCTCCAAATCACAGATGATTCCAACGCGAAACTGCGAGACTACCCTCATTTCTTTCTCCTTTCAGAGACGGACATAGATAAACTGTTGTATTTATGTTGGCTTTTTTCTCCAGATGAGTTGAACAATAAGTGCATATTCCATGATGAGAATATGTGTGGAGAATATGAAAACGGATTCTTTGAACTGAGTCAGGTTACACAGCGTATGCTGGTCATTGACTCCTTGGTGATTGGGGACCAGCAAAGACAGGTCAAAAAGGTCATGGTTTTCAAGGCCATTTTTCTGTTAAAGAACTACTACATTCCAATGGAATTATATAAGGAACGTCTGCAAATTTTGCTCTTTGCCATGAATATCATCATGCAAGAGAGAAGAAGAATTGAAGGGACTGGAAGATGCTGGTGGGAGGAATGTTAGAAATATGACCTCACCCTCTTCATCCTCTTGTTGTACAATACTGTAACATCAAAACTTTTGTTATTGTTGTTGTTGTTGTTGTTGTTTTCAGCTGATTATATATGCATTAAAGTATGCAGTTTTTGTACTTCATGTTTTCTATTCTTCATGAATCAAGTATACATGATGTATTAAATATTTAAAATGTATTTTGTGCACTTATAGACCATGACCTAATGACGAAATTGAGACCTCACTGAATGTACGACCTTTTAAAAAAACATTTTTTAAAATAAAAATTAAACTTGTATATAATTATGTGAAGATTTCTAAATGAATGTTTTATACTACTGTGTCATTTAAAGGCTGTGATATTTTACATTAAAAATATTTTAACATAAATTTTTAAGAGTTTTATTCCTTCGTTTCACAAAAGAAGAAAATGGTGAATGCCTTTAAGAATCACGTAAGTACGTATGTGTAGTTAAACAGTAATATTAAGTTGTATATTCTTTTACATATGTGTGGACTTAGATTTATGTTTCTGCAAAATCAACTGTGTAATAATTAAAGGATGGTATCCTTTATAGTAGTAGTCTTTGTAGGAAGTAACAGTATATCCCAGGCTTCTGGGTTAAAGAAATTGTTAGAAATCTGCAACAACTTTTCAGATAAGGTTTTATAGTAACAAAGAATCATAGTCTTTGATTGGTGTAGTCGCACCAAACCACGTAGAAAAAAGGCAAATTGATTTTATTATTAATTTATTATTAAGCAAACACAAACAAAAGTAGACAGTAAATTCATATAAAAACAAAATTATTATGAACAAGTAGTAAGTACAACAGTACATGAGTATTTTTATGATGACAGTGTGTTCAGATCAGTTACTTTTCAGGATGTGTACTTTGCCTTGAGAGCACCCGACCATCAGATCTCCATTGCAGCCCCTCACAATATCGGTGGGAGGGTAGCGTCTGTTTCTGTAGAGGGTACCCAGAAACTTGCCCTCAGTGTCTATCAGCTGCACGGAGTATGAATGGGCCTCACTCACAACAACGTTACTTTTGTCATCAAAACAAAGTCCAACAGGACAAAACTTCGCGGTCTTTTCGTCCATATTTGATTCATTACCGCGGTATCGGAATTTCAGTCGACCATATTTATCGAGAAGGATAATCTCTCCTTCTTTTTCACTTTTCATATTGCAGACGGCAATGTCTCCATTTGTTCCCACTTGCAGTTTCCATGGGACGGTAAAGAGAGGCACACCAAGGGACTCGAACTGTATTTCAACCGTCTTTTCACCCGATTTTGTGTATTTGAAGACAACCCTACGCCCTGTTGAGGAGGTGAAAGCATCTTCATCAGAAATGGAACCATCCATAGCCCCAACCAGAATTTCTCCTGTTGACCATGAAGTGCAGATAGATATTGGTTTTAAAGGAGCCATATTGATTAAGTCAATAACAGATCCACTTTTTGTGCATTTCTTGATCGTCTGGTCGCCCTTACAACAAACGAGAAGTTCCTCTCCGCGGGTAACGCAAATTCCTGCTATTTGCCATTCGGGATCAACATCAATGGAGTGCAAAGTCTCTCCAAGAACATTGGTCTGGTATATCTTCTTGGCGGTATTCGAAAAAATCCATAATCTGTCTACGTTCTGCATTTTAAATTTGTATCTGTAAGAATAATATATCCTTTTTTAAGTTAGCAACAACGAAAGCTTTTCAAATGAATCTTAATGAAAATTAAGATCAATGATTTAATATATGTCAATAAATATCAATGAAAAAGAGAAGGCACTCTATAGATCTTACTATAGTACTCACCTTTTAAATGTTTGGAAGTTATTCCTGTACTACTGTTAGTTGTTGTCACCAGTCTGCTTGTACTCTCTGGATTGAGAGGTTTTATAGTAGATGATGATGGTGACGTAACTGCGTTACGTTGCATAAAAGCAGAAGGCATGCTTGGCATCTGCTGTTGACAAAGTTTCTCGAGTTAAGTTGTACAAATATTGTCCTCTCGGTGTCAGCTTCGCGCTCTCATTCATAATCAGGGCGACAGATAACGGTGTTTATCCGCGACATCTGCGTCGGTGTGGGGATAAAGTTCTGTACCAGCGTCCATGTTCACTCAGTGATAACTTACATAGTACTATGAAATATTTGAACAGATCGTGTTCTCTAGATAATGATTACAACAGATTTGCGATTTTGACCTCTTGATTATTTGTAAATATGGTCACGTGCAATACAAACGCAGTTAACCTTCCATATTTGGAATAAATTTAATTAATGAATTAATATACTCAACGAGTAATTCCTTTATTTATTAAGTAAACTGGTATTGAACAAATACTGCAGGGGAAAAAATACAAATTCGGACTGCGTAGAATTTTGTCTGCTTTGATTGCAAACGTTCCATCATTAGAAAACAAAGATAATTCATTGATTTTGTTTTATTGAAAATTAGTTTTAAAATTACATATATGTGGAGGGCTGTGAAACAACTGACATGTGGCACTTCTTCCATATTTGGAGTTAAAGATGACTAAAACAACAATTTATCAAAAGAGTGTAAGAAAAGTTCATTCTTCATTTTTCTTTTATTCTCGAAAATAAATGCTATGAGAAAGTGTTTAAAATCTGTGATATTACATGTTCATAGAGTCCTGAGACTGATCTTTCTTTCTCCAAAACTCATCAGTTTTGCATGATGCAAGATAAGCTGTGAAGAAAAAAAGTAAATTTTATAACTCTGTTTTTTTTAATCAAAAGAAAAACAATACAAAATGAAAGAAAATAAAACCGATAAGTTGTATTTGAAGGAATTTTAACAATATTTTAAATTAAAAGTAAAATTCCTCGTGTTACATAACGGGAAGTGATATATGGTATGTCAATTATATACCATGCTTTCTTGGTGTACGTATGTATTGGGGTCGTAAGGACAGTGATCTGAAGTTTGGTTGAATCCGCACTCAGCGACTTTACGGAGTATTCAGTATCTAGTTTGATACCGGTTAAGTGTGATCTGAACTAGATAAGGTCAGTAATCTGAATACCTAGATTGTAAAACAAGACATATTCACATTAATTCAAACAAATCATTTTCACTCATGAGCTTATGAAATGTGAAAAGAAGTGACTCAAAGGACCAGTTAAGCTATATAAATGTTGAGCAGTGACAATACGGTCCTCAGAAGCAGAGCAGTTGGATCAGTTGCCATGGAGGAGTAAGCGTTCCATTGTGCCGAGTACTTGTGTACACCTTGTTTTTATCGTTTAATAAAAAAATCCGTACATAGTGTACATGTACCTGTAATGTGAAAATAAAGATTTATCAATTTATTTATATGAATAATATAAGTCAGTCAACATTCGACCTCTCAACGGATAGTATTTACAAACAAAGTCATTGTTTCTGCCATATGCAAAATATTGACTTAGATGAACGAAATTGTTGATATTTTTGTATTACCAGCTTATTCGTCAATAGCCTCCCTCGTTTTAGAAATTGTTGTAAATAGAGCATGCTTTTCTGTATCCAATGAACATAAACTCCATGGGATTATGGTATATTGTGACATAAATATGGGGAAGATGACAACAACAAAAAGTTGAAGTCGAATGCATTTGGAATATACTTATATGTACTCATAGATCTGATTAATATTTTCCTTAAAAAGGTATATGAATGGATAAGTATACCTTATTATCCGTAATCGAAGAAAACGGGGATATATAATTTTTGCCTGTACAATCCGCCTTTTCATCTGTTTGTCAGCAAAAACTTTAACCTTGCCCATAACTTGTGACTGGCTGGGGCTTTAGCTTTCACATTTCAAAGGAGTATTCCTTATGATAAGTACCTCCAATCTTGACCTCTTGGCTTTGGAATTTGACCGACTTTGACAAAAAATACCTTACTTTTACCTTGACCATAACTTTTGACCACTTGGTGCTGGGGCTTTCATCTTTCACACGTGTATTCATTACTAGTATAACAAGACCTTTTCATGGATATAAATATTTTTTTACCATGACCTTTGACACACTTTTTAAAACTTTAACCTTGGACATAACTTTTGAGCAGTTAGGACTAGGGCCTTCATACCTCATACAGGTGTATCCCATGTGTATTCCAAGGTCTTATTTTGGATACCAACAATTTTGACCATGACATGTGACCTACATCTGAAAAACTACAATCTTGGCCATGACTTTGAAACCGTTTGAGCCAGGAATTTGATATTTTACATGTGTATTTCTTATGACAAGGTCTTCTTCTGGGTACCTTTAATTTGACCTTGAAGTTTGACCCACATATTAAAAACTTTAAACTTTTGCCAAAAGCTGTCATATGGGGGCATCAGTGTTTCACAAACATATCTTGTTAATCAATGCGATGATTTAGCCCCCTTAGATAATTAATATGCATCTCATCCTTTGAGCATTACAGTGAAGCATGTACTCCTCAAGTATCTAAATCAAAAAAGTACTGACCTACGGATAAAAACATCTATATAAATAATGTATATGGTTATCCGGATATAGGACAGTTGAATTATCCTAATTGTAATCAGAGACAGAGGCTATATAAAAAATAAAATTTACTTTTTAACAACAATTTTTTATTGATTGTATAGTACCAAAAAATAATCAACAATAAAAACAATTTCAGACCACTCTGTTATCTAGACAGTGTATGATCTAACAACAAATAAAACTAAAATCAACAAAGTACTCACACTTGCAAGTATAACAGAGAAAAAAAGGAATATACAACACAATAATAATTCTTGAGACAAGCATAAAATCCTCACTTTTCAATAATTTCAAGATTTCCATAGCAAAACTTTCAAACAAAAAATACAACACATTACAACAATAACAAAGTTAAAATTGTTTGAATCATCATTATTGTACATGTATTATTCCAAATATTTTATATCATGAGCAATCAGATATTTTAAACTTCTTGTAAACGAAGGGAAAAAAAGACAATATGGCCAAACTGAAAAGCATTTGTTAATCAATACACTGAAACATTGATCATTCTGGGTTGTGATCAGTGCTTAAGAAGATAAATATCCATTATAAACAAGCAATACAATTAAGTTTTAGTCAAAGTTTCATATACAAGGTATTATAGACAGCTTTACAAATGCAAAATTTAAAGTCAGTCAGCTAATACTTTCCTACATGTATTGACTACAAAATGTACATGTACTCATATATGAATTTCATGGAAGATAATTATCAAGTCATGCTTTTCATTTGGACAGATAATGATTTAATTTGGGCAAATTGCAATTGGGTGGAGAACAACTCCAACCAACCCTAAACCCTAAATTCAACAATAGCTGTTATATGATATTGCATACAAAAGCCCAAATTCTGAAGTTAGAAGAATTTTAATTAATAAAATTGAATGTTATCTTCAAAATTATTTGCCTGTGCAAAAGTTTATTTCCATGTACAATGGCCTAAAATTCATAGTTTGTGTCCTCTTTTGCCCAGAGATATTGAAAACATTCTCTCAATTTACTTAAGGTTAAGTAAAGTTATTACCTAAATGACAAAAATGGGGATTTATTTGCTGAGGGAGGTTGATGAACTGAATTCACATAAAATTCATAGACTGAAAACCTACTAGACTTTGCACTATAATCTGACAAGTAAGTCAAAAATTTAAGAAATGATTCAAGTTTCATAAATTCTAAAATATATACATTCAATTTTCAGGACTTATCTCTGTTGACATGTTTTAATGCTGGTACAGTCTCTCATCAAACCATGATGGCCTTCGAAACATCACTTGCTTTCTTCTTACTTCTAGGATAGTCTTCATCAACTGTCACATCCTGACTGTCAGCAATCTCAAACTCAGAATTCTGAAAATATATATACGTTAAGTTTGTCAGCATAAAATTTGACAGACAGTTGAAAAAAACATATAGCAACTGCCTTTCTAGTGATGTTTGTAGTTTGATATCATAGGCAAATTATCCATTTTTCAGTATTTTCTGAATATTGGATGTCCATTTTTAAAACATCATTATCTTGAAGTCCAGTTCTTTTCCTCATTTGACATTGAGCATGCTACTAAATATCTGAGCCTTGAAAGGCTATTCATATTAAGAATTATAACTGTTATATTTTCTGAGATTTTAAAACCTATATCATAAATGGAAAATTTTGAATCAATTTTGTTCACTAACACAGTGAAACTGAAAAGTACATGTATTTGTATCACAGATAATTTACCAAAGTTCATCATACCTCATATATCTTTGAGCATGCTCTTTTCTTGCCTTTTCTCTGAATCTGCTGAGAATCTTTGTCGTCATCAGGTTTCTTTTGCAGTAGACGAGGACTTTGTCTAACCTACATTATTCATTGCATCAGAATTTAAATCACATTCTATAAATAAGTTTTAAATCAGATCATCAGATTACTTTTGTGAAAAAAATAATAAAGTTAAAATCTATTTCATAAAGAACATGTCTTCATTATTTCATTAATTTAGAAATTTTAATAGTAATTTCAAAATCAGATTGATGGAGGTAGTCTACCTGTGTGTATATAGGAAGCCTTCTGGCTTTTATAGTTTTAAAAAATTGCAATTTGAAACCAGAAAATATATAGTATATGTATTACCTCTTGTGTGCAAATATATGGTCCCAGTTTCTTTTTCCTTAGCTTTTTGAATGTTTTCCTAGCTAACCATATCTTCAGTCATGTCAGAAACCAATATATAGATTTTGTATCTTATGTGCTTTTGTTCAAGTTAATGGAAAAAAAATTAAATTGTTGAAAGTAATTTATTCTGTTCCCATACCATCAGATACAATTTAGTAACTTGTGTAAGTTATACACAATCAGATATTTTGAAAGAATTTCACAGTTTTACCACGGCAACATCATTCATTGAAATCAAAAACATTTGATTATTTGTAGCTTTGAAAATTACCTGTCAGGAAGTTGAGGACGACGGACGCACAATTATGTGATGTACAGTGAACTACACATGGACAGATTTTTAAAAAAATTACCAGAAAACATAATTATAGAACATAACTGTCTCAAATTCATATATATGAACTGATTTATTTTCCACTTTTTACAAAAAAAACAAAATTTGACAAATTCATAATTACACATGTACAGCATATAAATGAAACATATATAGTATCTCCCACATTTAATGATCATGCAGACTTTATATGTGTATATATAATTAGAATTGTGATCTCCCTTTTTGCTTTGATAGCCACTGCAAAATTTAAAAGGATCAATGGCCAATTAAAAGTTAAGAACAACTGAAGGTCTATGAGATTGATTCACCTCAAATATTTCTGTATACAATCACTAACAAACCTGATACATATAAGTAATTATGTCAGGTCATTCACATGGAAGGTGGAAGTCAAGAAGAAAATAAGGATAAGTCCCACACTCAATAAATATTTTGGTAGTGTGCATCCTTAGATGCAATATCTGTGCAAGTTTGGTCTCGGTAGGATTTCAAGTCATTTGGGATTGGACTTGCTCCCCAAAACATTTTACTGTTCAATCACTCAGAAAATTTAGTCAGATTCAGTAGAAATTAAGATTAGGCATCCAAACTGGTAGTATGAAAACCTAAATGCATCATCTGTGAAAGTGTTTAGAGGCAGGGCTTATAGCTTTGTGGGACTGAACCTCTTAAAAAAGCGGAGGCTTATCCATACAATGTAAATTCAGGGACATCAACAACAGTTGGAACCATGGGATAATTTATGCATAACAGACTTCACCTGTTATGCAAATTATCTTACCTTTCCAACTATCATTCATGCCCTGGAATATCCAAAAATTGGACAGTGATTCCTAAATACACATAAGCTTACTCAACTCCTGAGGTAAACTGAAAAACTGTTCTTCCTTTTTTTCTTACTTACCTTTTCAGTTGACTCAACATCTTGTGTCTCTTCCATCTAAAATACAGAACAGAAGTCAGAATCTAAAAGTTCCGATTGAAATACTTTACTTCATGAGAGCTTACCCTATCAAATTTGAATTTTCAAACCACGTGGGTTTTTTTTACAAGCATATACCTTATTTCCTTCATTGCTGATGACAGTCTTATTAATAAGGTACTTTTCAACTCCCTCATTCATTATTTTCTCATTGTCTACCATTTTTCCCAGCCTAAAAAAAATATGCATATTATACTATATGTATGCAAGTCTTTCAATATCATTCATTACATCAGTAAAATGTACTTTGTAAACTTCAATATACTGTAGAAGTACTTTTTTCCGCGTGCTATTATTTTACGCTATGTACGCGGTCACAAATTATGCGGAAATTTGTCCAAGCGTACTTTATATTAATGTAAGGCATATTTATTACATCAGTAAAATGTACGGATTAAACAGAAATTGTGATTCCGCGGAATTAAGATCCCGTGGAAAAAAGTACGTCTACAGTACTTAATAATATCTCACTTTTTGCCCTTCCCAGAATTTTTCACATATCCTTCTTTTTCCATTCTGTCAATGAGTCCATGAGCAATATTCACTTCTACTCCCAGCCTCTTGGCCAGACTCGGTGCCACAACTCTGCTGGACTCAGTAGCTGCCATCAGAGCTCTTCTGTACAGACATGTTGTCTAAAATAAAAAGGTGCATGAGTGGGCTACGACAAAACTTTTACAAACACGGATATTGTGAATTCACAAATATAGCGAAATTATTTTGGATTCCCAACTATATAAATTTAACAAATTCCTTATACAGATAATTATAACAAATTACGGATATAGCAAAGTAATTTCGAAGATCCCAGTGACTTTGTCATAACCAAGTTTTACTGTATCATTTTGCCCAAAGAACAGGGTAACAAAGTACTTTTGAACTTTTTTGCTGAATCACAGAATACTTTAAGAAATTAAATAGAAGGGATGGGAAGCCCTGGGCATCCTAGGCATTATGTTAGGCTGCTTTGGTACCTCAATATAAGGATGATCAATACTAAATAAATATAGTATTAAATAGAAAGTGTAATAAGTTGTTACCACTATGCATTTACTCTCTACCTGCATGTTTAATTTATATGAATGTGTGTAGCAATTATAGGGTAATAAATATTCAAATTATTGTTGCTGGTGCATAAAACCTGTTTAAAATTCTAATCATAATCCAATTTATATCTGTGAACTATGCTCTGCTCATGCCCACTGAGTATTGGTCCTTGAAGCTATTATTGCCAAACTGCATTATGATTGACTTCATTTCCATTTTTCCCATTAGATCAAAAGTTAAGTTTTGAATTAACAGAATCGCCATATTTATGGCTAAAAAACCATCCTATTTCTCAAATTAAATGAATCACACATACAAACATGGATACCAACTCTATCACTTTAGTTTAAATAATAGGATCAACCAGTGATTTATTCAGAAGAAATCGCAATTCAATGGTATTAAAGCAATTCCACAATTGACTTTCATCACTGAAATACCTCTGTAAATAACATATTATAATTATTTGATAGAAGTAATCACCTGAATAGCTATAGGGCTCAGCTTGTACAGATAGGGATCTGTTGGCTGCTTTATAGGATCATCTTTCTGTGAAAACAAAATAAGATTAAGTATCTCATTTTTTCCCATTAATTACAGTACCCGGTATATTGCCATATTACAAGTCATGCTTTTTATGTCATTATATGGCTAAATTAATTGTCAGAGTTTAAATGTCATTTCATACTAACATCAGCACAGACATCACACACATGGTGCTCTGGGGCCTCATATTCCTCCTTGATACAGAAGCACAACCCATGTTGCCAGTACTTACAGATTGCACACAACACCATCAGACCATCATCCTACAATTTACAATGGTATGTTACAAAATCTGTTACAATACCAAAGACAATCTTCACATTCCTGGTATTCAAAGTATGACTGACCTCATTACAACCACATGGACATCGGACCCCAAATTCCTCCTCTGTTTCTGTCATCTGACTCATTTCAGAGCCAAGCATTTCAACTGCTTTACCATCAGAACCTACAAAACATGAATATCATAAAATAGCTACAAGTATTTCCAAATAAAGAGAATCAAGAAAACCATCAGCTCAGAATTCTATCTCTCATTGGCTCACTTATCACTATAATTAGCCCCCAAAATAGTGCCTTTGTTTGAATTTATCAAAATTAGATTTTACTTTGTTTGTCCAATGCAGAAAGAGGAAAAATGAAAAATCTACAACAGAGATTATAATCTACTGTTTAAAATTTAAAAATCAATTATTTTCACTTCAAAGTACTAAGGAAAAATTCATTCTCATGGCTTCCATAAGCATCAAATTAAACAGTTTGATGTTTTATGGCATCTATTTTCTTTTCTGGTCAGATGTGTTAAAGATTTCAAGAAGTATACAGATGAAAGATCTTCGACATCAGCCAAGACATATAGGTGTCTAAATTTCAGTAGGTCAGCATCTAAACAATGTCTTCTACCTGGAATTTCAGGACTCTCTGTTGGGACCACTGGAGTTGGTTGTGATTCATCTTTCTTTATCTTCTCATCTTTTTTAGTGTCCTTGAAAGAAATAGATAAAAATGTTTACATGTATTATGACAAAGGTTTGTATTTATAGTGCATTTCAAGTCTTTTGAGGTTTATTATAACTTTATGTTATTGTACTGCAGTGATTCATTTTGCCCTGCGTATTGCGTAATTTACGCAATAAATTCATTAAATACCCATTGGTTTTTGTCCAGTGCGTCCTGAATACGCATAAGTGATTACCCCCATAAAATAGAATCGAAGTTTCCAGTTTCTATTTTTATCGTTCATTCTGTTTTTCGGAAGAACTGCAACACGTTTTGGTTTTAGCATACTTCATTTTTCTACTATAAATCATTTAAACATAAGGCTTAAAGTATAAGATACGGTAAAATTACATTTTAATTGTTTAATATGTCGTAATTAACACGTGCTCAGCCGCTGACACAGTATACGAAAGCTGGTCATAAACCGTCCCGATTTTAACAAAGAAAATATCAATAATCAAAGCAAATTATAAGGACAGTAAAAAATCAGTGCTCTAACTGTAAAAGCATTGCTTTGGATTTGGTAGACAATAAAATTGCCTGGAGGGGTGTTGGGAGATAATTATCAAGTGACCAGCGCACATGTTTAAAACATTGGCTTCCTTTCATTGGTACATAGAGAGGGTGTTTATGTTGCAGTGAATTTTCACTGAGTTATTTACAACCTAAAATATTTTTTTATTTATTGTATTTCATTAAAAAAAGACATAGCTTTGTCTGATTATTACGGAAGGAGTGCACGTCTAAAAATAACATCGGTAATGGCAGCCTACATGGAGAGTCGGGGAGACAATAAACATGTAGCTCAAATTAATTTTAACTTGCTTTTTCATGTCATTATAGTATCAAAAGGTTATGAAAATGACATTTTTAACAAGCATACTTTCCAACAATAAATTCCGAAGTTTATATTAAAATATGGCGATAAACAAAAGAAATTACACATGTCTCTATAGGTAATACTACGGTATGTACGTATGATAGCCATGTTTCACCGGAAAGAAAAACATATGAAAATCCCATTTTCATGTAAAGAACGCGCTCCTTTCTTACAGAAATTTATTTTAGGAAAAAAGTGCGTATTATATTCCGCCAAATACGGTAACTGAAGAAAAAAAACTTGGCTTGATATCACATTCATAGTTGTTAAAATTCTGACCCATTGATTTTGAGTTCTGACCCATTGCTTTCTGACAGAGGGGTACACTGTACCCATTCAATCATTTTTCGAAATGAATCACTGGTACTGTGAAATCACAAATTTTCGTGAGGGTCTAATTTTTGATGTTCTTGAGGTATGGAGAGACCCACAAATTTATGACCACCACAAAATGTAAAATTTCATATATATAACTACTTAACATTTCCCACCATGAAATAAAATCTCCAATAAGCATTACCTCAATCCTCAAAAATTTTGACCCCATGAAAATATGTAATTTTACAATATATGTAAATTGTATCACATGATATTAACATCTAACCTACATATAAATGTTATTGATCATTGCTGCAATTATCATGTTATTGAGAAAGAACTAGTGAACTCTTGAGGCAACTGCATTCATTCATTGAGAAGTAAATTAACATTGTCCACTACATCTTTATCTTTTTGCTCAAGAATCTAAAGACAAAACTGATGGTCATCTGAGATCAAGCTCAATACATTGTTTGAAGTCTACTTTACATACAGTGTGAACTTCAGCCTCTGTCTTCATCTCAGCTGTCTCCTCCTCCTTGACGTCAAACATTGCTTCATTTGTCTTCACCCTCATCTTAATTCTGTAAAAGAAATAAAAGAAACCACATTTGAAAAGCATCTGCATAGAGAAATTAATATTATTGAACATTACTGGTAAACAACTTAAACTTTGTACAGTAAAACTCAGATAGAGCAAAGTCATAGGGACCTAATAAAGGTACAAATTTACTTCACTATATCCATAATGTTATATATCCAGAAGTATATATGCTGAATTTTTAATGTAGATTTTCCCCTTAAAGTTTCACTAATAGCTATGTTTAATTCAAATGCACTTATTATTATAAACAGGTATTGTTAGTATGAACTTAAACTGTGTCTATAATCTTAGACTTCATCATTCTGCATTAACAAAACTATTTCCACTCTCAGTGGGAAATGAATAAAACAAGAGGCCCCTGGACCACTCTATTTCTTTCACATGTTGTACATTTCTTTTAAAATAATGAACAGGTGAAAAAAGTCTTTTGATAGCCATGCACGGACTTATTTTTGTAGTTTAAGCAAAAGAAACTGGTTCATGGGGATTATATTTGGAAGAAGTGTTGAGTTGATACAAAATTTGAAAATTTTTCATTTCATAAAGGATATGACTTCATAGATCTCTTCATGCCATAAATGAAACCCACATGAAAATTGTTGATTTAACGGCTATCTCGCAATGCATTTTGAATCACTGTAATGTACATTTAAATTAAATATTGACTGATGCAAAGCCTGAAATATCTACAGATTTTGATCTACTCTGTGAAAGGAAGCTTCTATACAAGTTGTCTTTCCTGGTTCTTTGGTTAAAATTATCTTTTTTTAAAGACACCAGCTTATTTTCACAATTTTCAACAAATATTACGAGAGAGTGCCTGGCAATCTTTCAACTATAAAATTTGAATTAGCTTTATCCAAGCTCTAAGTACCTATTGTTGAAAATGCAAGTATATAAAAATGTTTAAAACAATCGCCAGACAAATTTCCATCAGAAAAGCTCACTTGATTGAGCCTTTGGCTCAGATGAAATGAATTAACATAATTTGTTCTAAAATAAACAAAAATCAGCAAACTTATAATATCAACAGATAAACATACCTGTGGTAAGGCTAGTAAAATAGGCAACATGCATAATAAAGTATATTTAAGCCATTACTATTAGTATTTCAATTATATTTACAAGTAAAATTAACAATGAAACTTGCTTTTACACCTTCTTTACATGGCAGAAAATTCAGTGCATTAGAATATGCTGTACTGTTTTCTATTTGTCAATGATTCTACATCCTTTTTAACAACCTTTAAAACTTTTACAAAAAGAGAAATCTTACAGTTGCAACATCTCCAACATTGATGGTCACTGGTTCCTCTTCATATTTGAAATCTGTGCAGGTGGATGGCTTAAATCCAGGGGGTTCATATTCTGGAGGGGTAACTAGAAAATTAGAATGACAAATTAAAGATCAGCTAAAAAAGATATGTATTTAATAGTCTGACAAATAGACTTCTTCAAGCACTTGCCCACTGACAACTGCATGGTTGAAATATTCCTTGCTGCTTTGGATATTGCTTAAAGTTAATAAATCTCCCTACAGTAGGTACGTAAAATATGTAAAGTTGTATCACAACCTTACACCATGATTTGTAAAGCATTGTTTTTATTAAATTTTTTTTCATACTGTGTATGCTTAGATGCTTTTGTGGTTCTTTCACTATTATAGCGCATATCAAAAATTAATTTGCCCCTTCTAGAATTCACTCCAGGGTGTCAGGCAACAGAATTTGTCAGCCCCTCCTTTATAACAATCCATGTAATACTGTTAATCAACTTTTATTCCTGATAAGAAATATCTGCGAGTTTTGTGACCTTCTTTAAGTCAAGAATATTTACTCACAACAATTGAAACATATATTTCCTTCTTCTCTGTAGAAAATATTTCCTCAGTAGCAAAAATTAATCGTCCCAGATTGATTTCAAACTGATAAATTGCGAATAATAGTTCATTTACTGTATACAAATGTCACAAAATATAATTTATATGTCCAGATAAAGCTTACCATCATCATAATAAAGCAACTTCATGGTCAGCATAGTGTCCTCTGGAATGGCATTCATTGTCTGTGTTAAAACAACAATTGTGCGAAGGAGGCGAATTGTGGCTTTCTTGATTTCACTCGCAGTGTTGGCACTTGATATCTTTTGGTTATTTCTAAATAAATTTCATTAATAAAATTTTATCAAATACGAGTATGTGTATTTAACAGTTATATCTATATAAAGATCATTAACGTACTTTCATTCTATAGAACATAGATCCCTTCAATGCTGTTACATGTATTAAAAGCAAAAAAATATATTTTTTAAGTTAAATATAAATTGTAATTAACCCACAAACTGAAAATGTAATGTAATAGAATTTTTTTCAAACTTAAAAAGTTTTGGGTTTTTGAAGGAAAGCCTTGCAGGTTAGTATTTTGAAACACTCATCATAGTGACTGGGGAAATGAGATGAAAATCATAATAGTTATGAAGGGGTTGTGCCCACATAATAGGGCTAAGCATCTTGAGTACATACTTCTGTCAAAGATAGACACTTTCCATTTTAACAAAAACTGATTCCAAATAAGAATGCTTATAAGCTTCTGCAATTTTTCTTTTACCTTTAACGTGGAAATCATTTCTTATCCTCCCCCCCCCCCCCCAAAAAAAAAGAAAACTAAAACAGTGTCTAAATCTTGTTTATCCAAAAAAAAAATAAATACATTCTTAAAAATCATTTTCAAAAAGTTTGCATCTCAAACTTTTCAGATCTGTATGTCTTGAACAGGAAAAAAAAATCCACCTGGTTCCTTACCTGTAGATATCTACTCCTGTCTCGTCTGCATAGCTGAACTTGAATGTATACGATTCAATCAAGGTCTACAAAAAAAAAGGTACATACATGTAGCATCACCAAATGATTGATCTAATAAGGTTGAATTAAATATTCAAAAAAAAAAATTAATGCAGTCTTTCATGAATATTATCCCACTTTCATCATATGAAACAATATGAGGGTTGTCCCAAAAAGTCGTAGACAATGTTTATAACTTTTTAATCATGCAACCAATAATAACAAAATTTTGCATAGATATAATATAATCAATGTTCTTTAAAATCATAGATTTTTAAATATACATCATTCATATTAATAATATTAGGACGATTTAAATGGTGGCCTATAAGGTCTGTCAGCGCACGGACAAAATTCGGAGTAATTTACCCATATAACTATTACATTTGCTTTTATTTTTTTAGTACTATTTTAAAATATTGAACTCAAATTTAAATCAGTGAAATCAGATTCAAAATCTTAATAATATGTCAAAATTTCATATAAACAGCATTGGAAACAGATGATTGGTGTCATGATTTTCAAAGTGTTGTTGGTATTGAGTTTGATGAAAATGACGTCGTCAAACTCGTAACCGGCGCACGGATATATAATAAATAGTTTTGAGTAAGGTTTGTATACATCAGAGACAGGAAAAAAGAGTACAGAAGTGACATTACACACTAAATTTTAATAGGGAAGTTATTTTTGAATGGCATGAGATTCAATGAGAGTTTTTCCTCTATAACAAAAATAGTTACAGCATGTAAGAAGTAGAGTACTGTTTGTAAAGGTACGCAGACAATGGGGAACAATCTTGGCCACGAACGTCAAACAATATGTATTCTCTGCTACCTACAATGTATGGCGATCTTTCGACTAAATGTTGACTAAAATTTGAATCTGCTTGTAAAAAAAACAACAAAACACCGGACAGTAGTGAATTTAAATAAGTCCCTTAGTCAAGAGTGGTCTTTCACTTTAAAAAAAATTATTGAATGTTAACAGATGCGTGTAAAGCAGAAAAAGAGATCATGACGCTATAAGAGACGTAAATTACGCTTGCTTTCGAGCGCCGATGTACACTTACATATGCTTTCTTTATTTTTTCATAATTTTCTTATTAAATGTGATATCATCATGAAATTTGAAATGCATGATCATAAAATGTTACTTTTTGTTATGACAAGAAAAGAAATTTAGTTCAGCAAAGAGAAAATAAACTGTTTTCCCTGTCTACCACTTTTTGGGACTACCCATGTATGTAAAGAAGTAAATGTATTACATGTATTATTTTTGAACTGAATTTTTGCAATTTCATTGGTTCAAACATATGAAACAACTGTCATATTTTAATTTGATGGACACCTCTGGAAGGCGAGCACTTTTATCTAGTAATATAGATGACATCTAACCATTTTAATTTTTTTTTTTTTTTTTCAGAAATTATTTATTTCTATCCAAGTGACTGAGAAAATAAATCATTTATACATAATAGGTTTGTTATTGACTATTTACAGAAATATATCAGGTTTCTTCATCTGATTGATCAATCATATATTTCTGTAAACAGTCAGCAACCTTCAAAGTAATATTATATAATAAAGAATGCTTAAATGAATATAAAGAAATGTTACACAGGTTTATATATATTTGTAACAGGAAGGGAGAAAATGTATGGCTGGACCAGGAATCAAACCCGGGAACCCTGCATCACTGGTCAGGTGCACTACAAACTGAGCTACCCAGGCCAATATCAACGACCCAAGCCATTACATTTCTCCCTCCTTAAATTGTCTTCAAGGGCGAAGACACAACCCAAGTTCTTATTAACCCCTGGCAGGTCTTTCACCTGCAATTCCAGTGGTGGTCAATGGCACCAAATCTGTGACAGGAAGTGAGAAAATGTTTGGCTGGTCCAGTAATTGAACCTACACCCCTGCATCTCTAGTCAGGTGCTTTACCAACTGAGCTACCCAAGCTGATATCCACGACCCAAACCATTACCCGGTACATATATTATATAGAATACTTAAATGGTCAACTTACCTCAGGGTTTTCTGGATCACGGTAGAGCTGAAATGTAGAACCATACTTCTTTTTAAAAATGATCACGCATTGTCAAATAACAAATAAACTTTTTTTTCTTTCAGAAACACTTCTTTCATTCAAAATAAAGATATGAGACTTTGAGAAAACAACCCGTCTTTCAAAATGCTATGTGAAGTACAATGTATATCCTTAAACTGAAGACTTTGTTGCAAAATAAAACCAATTGTATCTGAATTTCAGCAAATGAATTCCGAATTCTTTCAGCCCATTGATGACTTAATACTGGGTCCAAATTAACTGTCATCTGTAGCATCATTGTGATCTAGGATACTGAAAACAGCTTATATTATGGGATTTTTATGCTTATATAGAGAGCAATGGAGCTTTCAGGAATTCAGAAAATAAGTGATATTAATTGTTACATACCCCTAGGATAAGTATTCTGAGCTGAAATTTAAAAAATACATAATAACAAAAAAATCTTCCAACATTCTTCTTATAGTACTATTAAATTTATATTAAAGACATTTTGTATGTAGTATAAATTTATTTCTGCTATGGTATGCAGTCACAAATTTTGAAATTTGTCCAAGCTTAAGTAAAGCACATTTTAATCATACAATCACAATACACATGCAGTGTTCTGATACAATATTTCCATACTTACATATTTCTTGTCCAAGGCATCAAAGCATCCTTTCATATACTGTATGAATTTACACACTCCTGGACAAGCACTGTCATCTCTCAAAGTTTTCAAATGTAGGTCTATAGGATGAAAATTATAAATGCAGTCATTGGACTCTAATTGGAATGAAATTATAGGTATATGGTATTAAAAGCAATAAAATGCTTTCTTTGATTGTTAGTACAGGAATTTAAGTTCCGTTGCAGAAAAAATACTTAACATGTACACAATTATATAATAATTAATAAGAATTAAAATTGTATCATTGATTTTAAATTTGTATTATTGTATAAAGACTTAAGTTTCTTTCATTGATGGGAGAGCCAGTATGTGCTAGTGAAATCTATACAGGTGGTTGCTTAACAGCATTAAAGTAATGTTTTACGTGATCTGATAGAAAAATGATAAAGTATGAAAAACATTACACTGTTGTTCTTATTTTCCAATTCTTTCAAATGATGATACCTAACCATAAATATCCATCTTAAATTAAAATTTGTACAGCATTTTATCAAATCTTGTAAGGAATTAATCTGTACCTTCAATTGAACGATCTCCAAATGCATGCTCTGGAAACAAGGCTCTTAGGTAAGCAATGTTTGAAACTGCCACAGCCAAAAGTTTCTTCACAAACAGTATAGACTTCTGTTCTGTCACAGTTTCATTTGGAAAAATCCCTGTCAACTAAAATCAAAATTAATCAAGGTTACATATATATACCTGTGAACAAGTGTAAACAATTTTGTTGAAATAATAATGATCAAAATGTCATTAAAGCATGCCAAAAATAGCAGTTTGAATTTAAAATAAAGTTATCTCAAACCTTATATCAAACTTTACAGACAACCACAACAGACAGAAAACATGATACTGAATACAGGGAAATTTTCGCCCCTTTCACCCTACCTTCATTTGGGCGAATTTAAGGTTCATAAACCCTCTGCTCACTCATATAAAATGTTGCTGGAACCTTAATGATTTTCCCAAAAAAATGTATTTTATAAGTAAAATACAAACAATTATACCACAGCCTGCAGTGCAAAATTGGACAAAAAAGACACTTCAACTTGGTAAATCTATAAAGGAATAATAGACATTTATGTCATTAAGAGTTATCTCTCTTATCAGAGTATCGATGACCCTTAAAACGGGGCGAATTCAAAGAATACAGTATAATTTCTTAAACAAAACTATGACTGGGCGAATTTAAAACAGAGCAAAATTGTTTGCAAGAGTGAAAAGGCGAAAATAAGACAAGGCGAAAATAACCCTGTATACAGTATTTTAAATTAAGCAGTTTTAAAAAGTTCACATAATCAACATGATCAATTACACTTTAAATTTCTGAGAATTTTAAACCATTTTCCTTGAATGCATGATGAATGGTCTGTTCTCTCAAGATCAATGCAATAGTATATTAAAACGGGAAACATTTACACTGCTGCATACATTATACATGTAAATATTCAATGTCATTTCTTGAAAATCTTACATCTTTAGTTTTTTCTCTTTGGCACTGTGTAGTTGCCATTTCTCCGAGTGTCTGAAATTAAAAAAAAAAATAATTGTAATTTTAGCAACAGTTCAAGTTTTTGTACCTATAGTGTTTCTAAAAAATATTCAGGATTTGTTGTCAGCACTGTTTACATTCCTGATCTTAACAGAATAATAAAATTGCACATTCAAATTCAAAACATGTCCCTGCATGGTCAACTGTATTTCTGAGAAATCACTTAAGTTGGTAGATGTATGCTTTACATTCATATTTTTTTCTATGTATGCTTTGAGATATATAGATTATAAATATTGCAGCCATTCCAATCAGCATAAAGAACAGATTACTGTGACTGTCTTGTATCTGCACTGGTTGTGACATGTTTTGATGAAGTACATGAACATCACAAAATGGCATAAAATGTACAAAAGGTGAATTCTGTGTACCTTTTCCAGCATTTTGTTAAGTTTGTTTTCATTTTTTCACAAGTTTATAACAAAATTCATAGGCATTTTGTTTATCAAATGATTAACTTTATTTTTGTTTATAGAGTGCATTAAAATTACTCATCAATGCATTTTTTTTGTAAATGCACGACTTTCCTACCCCTTCTTAACCATTCATCCTGGAGTAAGTTTTTAATTTGCTTATGAAACGAAACTGTTCTGAATTCAATGGTTGATTTTTTTTCAATATGTGCAAAACGGCCTATTGGAATCAAAGTTTTGAAAGTCTGCAGGCTATGCTAGCTAGTAACTGACTGGTAATAATTCAGCATGGTTAAAACTATTAAATCATAATGATACTAATTTAAATTAAGGCCTCAATGCATGTACATTTCACAATGAGTAAGACTGAAACGGTTAATACTGTTAACCACAATTCACCAAAGTTTTTTTTCTTGGTTTGATACAGGGTGCTACAATTTCCACTTCTGTCTTTAGGTTCGGTTTATTTTTCAGTCTGGATTGTTATTCAGACAGATTTAGCATAGGCAAAAACAATGTTACTCTGCATAATCAAGTACTAAAAACGGTAAAGTTAAACGCAAACTTTTGAGGACTGATAGTTTGAAAAATATCTAATTTATACTTTTGAGGACTGATAGTTTGCAAAATAATCTTCAATAGTCAAAACATTCTAATCAATTTCCTCTTGCCAATCAGCATGTAAAATGTAAAGTGACTAAATTTAGCAAATGAAAATAAACACAAAATGTATCGCAACTGGAAAGAACCGTAATGTCTACTAAAAAAATTATATGAAATGTGTTGTACTAGGAAGGATGCAAAGCATTTCATTCCAATTAGAAATCCATCGGCATGTGATCATTATGTTACTAGGCTTACATTTTGAGCCACCTTTTCTGAAAATAGGAATCCATCTACCACAGTACAGATAGATCTACATGCCACAAGTTTGAGACCACGTCTATATCATACAAAAAGCATGTGAAAACTGCTCTGAAATTCAAGCTATTTAGAACTTGCTTGTTTATAACGCAATCTTTAGACGTTTAGTGGAAGAGATGCTGGATATGAAAAACAATGTTACTTGAACATACATGTACATTTGATTTCATCAGTATTTTTAAAGAAACTGAAAGAGCCCAGCATTTGACAGAAGAACTGTCCATACCTTATAAACACTTGCACCTTCGTATGTACTACTTCTTTAAATCTGTAAATCGGTTTTTTCTTTTCAGTTTCTTGTCAGCAGACGACCACAACGCGGTGTTGACCAACAAATTGTCACGTGATCCTCACTTTTAAGCGCTTTAATGACGAAGATTTACCATGCGCATGTCGTTGCTATCAACAACATAACCTACTTCCGGTTGCAACTGTATTTTTGAAAAAAAATTGACTGAAGCTGTGATTTTCCTTTATCAAACATAAAGTGAGTATTTAAACGTAACGTTTTGATTTTCATGATATATTGATCCGCAAATGAATTTTTTCTCTTTATTTATGATTATGTAGAGTGGCAAAAAGTTAGAAAAATCGTATTGATCAGTGATTGAATCTCACAAGATTTTTGTTGCTGTTGATACCACTGTCATTTCTCTGCTGAATGTTGATTTGGCTAAGACATTGTTTGATACATTTTTGCTTCAAGTTGGTCGTCTTACTTGTCTTCTTGAATGCATCCCTCTTTACAAAATCAATGTTTATCTGAAGTATCCAAAACATTCTTTGAATGAAGCACAAGGGATTAATTTGCTTATAATTTTTATTTAAGAACGAAAATGAATGAATTTAAAATGAATTGATAAGTGGTTATATCATAATACAGATTGACAATTAAGCTTGTGTCCTTATCATGCTTATTATGACTTACTTTTATCTCTTGACTTTCTCTTAGATTAATTAGAGTGCATATATGTCTAAATAATTTGGATCTCTGACCAGATAGGATGTCTTTTAAACTGTCTGAAAGTATATAATTATACATTTACCATTGATGTTTTATTTCAGACTATAAAATGCCTACCAATCCAGACGAGCCCTACTACTGCTCACAGCAAATAAACATCCCACCGTCATTACCTGATATTCTGAAACAGTTCACAAAAGCGGCAATTCGCACTCAACCAAAAGATGTCTTGGCATGGTCTGCTGCGTAAGTTATTTCAGTATCAACATCTATATATATGGATACCTATTTGAAAATTAACATTATGAATGAAGAGATTTTTTAACATATTTTATAGCTATTTCAAAGACATGGCAAAGGGAGAGACACCCCCTGTGAAAGAGAGACTTGAAATGCCCGTGGCCACACAGAAAACTGATACAGGTCTTACCCCAGGTCTTTTGAGGGTGCTAAATAAACAGGTATGGAACAATTCAGAAGGAAAATATATACAACATGTACAAAGTTAATGTCTTTACTCTCTAGTTAAGATTTCATTTTCTTCCATATCCTTGGTATCCATGTGTTAATAGTGTTCTTGATTATTAATTTCTGAGCTCATTCCATGAAATTTCAGATGCATCTGTCAGATTCTTGAACATGTATTGTATCATTTTAATATGTTTGGCCTTGTAATTCAAACAGTAAATTGATAATTTATGTTAAAGTTAATCTTGAGCACAACAAATTAATGCCTTTACTGTCTAGCAAAATAAATTACTCCTTTCCATAATTCCATCCCTCCTAATCATGATTTAATTCCAATTTAATTATATAGGTGGAACATTTTTTCGTAGACTCCAAGGTTGGCCATTTGTATTCATTTACCACATATGAAATGTTTTTTCTTCAAAAACTTATCACAGACAGAACTTGCGAGTGTTCACAGATTGTTTTCACTGATAAATGCCTGTGTTTAACTCATGTCCTGAAACATTCTTGGAAACAATTAAGAGGACACAATCACACAATGTCATTAAAGAAAACAAGTGTTTGAAAACTAACAATCACAGAATGACATATCAACAAAGATATTTATTATGGAATTGAACTCATGATTATTTTTTCAATGTACATATATACTTAAGAATCATGTTATAAATCTGAAAGGAAAAAAAAACTTGTGAAACAACATAGATTCACATTATATTATAAAAATCTAACCAATTTTCTTTCAAGTTGACAGAATTTACAGTCATATCATTGTATAAATAAACTGCATAGGATATGGTAATGTTTCTGTAAATATCAAATTTAACCAATTTTGTTGATATCTGCAGCTTGGTCCAAAGAAGACAGTATCATTAAGCTTAATCGAGGAGAAGTGGGCAGATTTAGCTCTCCCCAAAGAACAATTTGACGACCTGGTCAGGATAGGGAGTTTTGGGGGAGAGGTTGAATGGAATAAATTTTTTGCCCTCTGTGCTTCAGCACTAGGAGAGGTAAGAATACCTAAGTGACAAGTTTGGTTTAGGAATTGTCTTGTACTTACTTTTATAGCTAGAGTGTGTTAATCAAGGTGTGGCCTAGCTAGTTCATTACTTGAAGTTCTCTCTATATAAAATGTTGACTCATTTAAAAAAAATATTTTACTGATGATAGGCATTTTATGTAAAACTAAAGAATCTTTAGATTAATTCAATTATGTTTAAAAAGTCACAGTATTTAATTCTTGGAACAAATAATATACATGATTATAACTGAACTAGATTTACAATTTAACTCAGGGACAATAATTCCTTAAAAAATGTTTTCAATCATTAACCTTTCATTTTTAGAACATTACAGATGCCATGAAGACAATCTGTGAGATTTTAACAGCAGATCCCGAGGGTGGACCCTCTAGAATCCCCTTCCCATTATTTAAGGATCTCTACACCTACCTAGCACAGATTGATGGAGAAATTACACAGCAACAAATTAATGAAGTCTGTAATTACCTCAAATATCATGTGTAAGTATTACATGTATTTATGCATCATACATGTGGGGGTGTATATATATTCCAGGGATTAGTATGTAGATTGAATATTATACAAATGTAGCCTTTTGTTGATGTCATTACCTAGATTTATAGACCTTGGAGAAAGGCATATCCACCGAGCACAAAGTGCGAGGTCTATGTGCTTTTTCTAAGTTCTATATATCTAGGGATTGAACTGAATCAAAAGGTTATGTTCGTTTTATTATTTTTCTTATCAGTCAATAAGAAATGTCTTAAAATTCATGATTCTAAAACTCAATACTTTCTCACATTACTATAAAAGGTGTTGTTATGCCATATGCATTATGATGTCACAGTAAGAAATAGCAGCTGCATTACTCTGTATTAAGGAATTAGATGTGTAATAGGCCACTTCTGGTAAAAATACCGAGGTGTTTGACATCGGCAGTTCTCGGAACATCTATCTTCGTAAACAAAAATGGCGCGTCGTCAAGACGGCCTTGGACGCTATCATAAAACATACACCAAACTAACGGATTATAACTAATCATAGGAAAGAATTGATATGATATTAAATAGAAAACACCTTACTATAATTTGGTTTGACAAAATATGCAGTCAAAACGATGTTATCTTCATATACACACTACAAGGGTTTTTCCAACTTCTAAAAATAGCACCGATTTCGAAAAAACAAACGAAGTAACTTTAAATTGTAATTTTTGATTCTCTTAATATCAGGTAACAGTTTGAGAGAATAATGTATGTTGCAATATCAATAGCATGGGCGTGTATTGTGGAATCTGCAATTAATCGACAGATGTTGCATACATACATGTATCATCCCTACATAATGTAATATGCTGGAAATGTGCAAACCTGTGGCTGTGCTAAATGATTCTCAGGATTTGTGAAATATCAATGATTTCTAGAAAAATAATTGACAAAATAGACTTAAAATATCTAGATATTCATGCAACATACAATAAAGTCACTTACAATTATCCATGTTATCATATGTGAAATATCTGAGATGGTCAAAATAGATCGATCAGTAAAAAAAAATGTAATTATATGTTTAGAACTTTAACAAAAAAATAATATCAGTTATGAGAACAAATAATTTATTCTGGGTAAAGTGAGGGTGAATTTTATGTGTGTGGGTTTTATTTTTTGCATGAGTTTAGCCGCGTCGGAAAGGGGGGGTATTTAACATATTTATTTATACATATTTTATTAATTTATAATCTGAGGCACAATATTGTTTTTAAAACCCTTTGATCAGTGTTTCGCGATCGGTCAGATATATTTTAGCCTTCATTGTAAAGTAAATATAAACTATGAAGAACTTTATACACAAGGGAACTGCAAAAATGTAGGTTATTTTGTAAAACCTTGTCTAGGTCAAGGTCACTGTGAGAAGAGCTCAATTTTCTGAACAAATGAATCTAAAGTGAATAGAGTTGAGTATGACAATCATCTTTTGTTTATATATGCTCAAGCTCATTAGTTCATTCATTACAACCTACCCTATACCATGAACAAAAAAATAATGGCTTACATTTTTAGGGGGTACATCACTCTGATGTTGAATATAGATAAATATTGTGGATAGAATAATTCTTTTTTGTGGTTATATTATCACAAATACATGTCACATAAAATTTACAATGTTTTCTTATTGATCATACCTACCATATTTTTCTTTGGCAGAATATTATAAACGATTTTATAACAATAATTGCTAAAATTATCACTGAAAGTAGACAAGTTCTCTCGATTACAAGTATTCATATATCATATCTGATGAATTTGAACTAAAAAAAATTGATTGTCTACAATCCTAGGGCTTATTGTTACAGCTGAATACATGAAACATTAAACTGTTCTCTGGCTAACTCGAAAAATTACATCTCTACCCTTTGTCCATAAAAGGTGCACCACTGGCGAGAGGGTACAGTTACATAATGAGCACATAAGAAATATGTATGGACAAAATTGCATGAAACTAAGGAAAATATTGCCGAAAGTGTTGTTCATTATAACTATGCTTAATTTGGTCATATGCAAGGTCATGGCTATTACACCCCTAATACCTTAACGTGGCATACAGTGTTTTTCATAACCATCTTTGGTCCTTTCATGTGTCCTTTCATCTGTCTTTCCATCACACTTTGCATTTATGTTGAGGTTTCAAAGAAACTTAATGAATCTTCGTAGAAAGCTTTGTTATATATACTCTGTACAGCTGTAAAGAATCTTAGTACATGTAATTTGAAGGAAGTAAAATTTAAAGTTTCTGTGACTTCATATTATTAAAAAAACTTTTCCTGTATTCTATGAATTTGAACTTTTAATTAATTATATTTCTCTTTTAGGGACAAACAAGATGGATATGTCCAACCTCGTAATTTCCTTGGAGCTGAGTGTCCGAAGTTATCTAATCATTGAGGTTCTTGTGATATATATCTAATGACTACTTTTTCTTCGATCATTATTGATACTAAACCATCTGAGAATGCATTCAAAGTTGAAAGAAACAATCTTAAAAATTCTAGTGTTCAGAAATTACAGACACACCATCTTGATTTCAAAACTGATGGAATGTTCTGTTTTGTTGAGGGGGAACAATTAAACTCTTTTTTTATCTTATAGAGTATATTTAAAGGATTGTACATATGTTGTTGTATATGCAATAAAATTTAAATTCGGTTAATATTGTTAATTCTGCACTGCTCTTGTTCCACACTACAAAGTTACATTAACCAAAAATTATTTGTAGCATCTTCATCTTTTATTTGCAAACCCCAAAGCAACAATGGAAAATGTGTAATGGGATCTTGGATATCAGCCTGGGTAGCTTAGTTGGTAGAGCACCTGTCTAATGATGCAGGGTTCCCAGATTTGATTACTGGTCCAACCATTTTAGTTTCCTTTTTAGCTCACCTGAGCCGAAGGCTCAAGTGAGCTTTTCTGATCAAAATTTGTCAGTTGTCTGTCGTCGTTGTCGTTGTTGTCGTCGTTGTCATAAACTTTTCACATTTTCATCTTCTTCTCAAGAACCACTGGGCCAATTTCAACCAAACTTGGCACAAAGTATCCTTGGGTAAAGGGGAATCAAGTTTGTTCAAATGAAGGGCCATGCCCCCTTCCAAGGAGAGATAATTATGAATTTGTGAAAAATTTATGGCATTTTTAAAAAATCTTCTTCTCCAGAACCGCTGGGCCAGGAAAGATGAAACTCATGTGTAAGCATCCTCAGGTAGTGTAGATTCAAGTTTGTTCAAATCATGACCCCCGGGGCAAGGGTGGGGCCAAAATGGCCGACCCAAGTTTTACAAAGGAATATATAGGAAAAATCTTTAAAAATCTTCTTCTCCAGTACCACTGGGCCAGGAAAGATGAAACTCATGTGGAATCATCCTCAGGTAGTGTGGATTCAAGTTTGTTCAAATCATGACCCCCGGGGCAAGGGTGGGGCCAAAATGGCCAACCCAAGTTTTACATAGGAATATATAGGAAAAATCTTTAAAAATCTTTTTCTCCAGAAACACTGGGCCAGGAAAGATGAAACTCATGTGGAATCATCCTCAGGTAGAGCAGATTTAAGTTTGTTCAAATCATGACCCCCCGGGGCAAAGGTGGGGCCAAAATGGCCGACCCAAGTTTTACATAGGAATATATAGGAAATTAATCTTTAAAAATCTTCTTCTCCAGAACCACTGGACCAGGAAAGATGAAACTCATGTGGAATCATCCTCAGGTAGTGTAGATTCAAGTTTGTTCAAATCATGACCCCCGGGGCAAGGGTGGGGCCAAAATGGCCGACCCTAGTTTTACATAGGAATATATAAGAAAAATCTTTAAAAATCTTCTTCTCAAGAACCACTAGGACAGGAAAGATGAAACTCATGTGGAATCATCCTCAGGTAGTGTAGATTCAAGTTTTTTCAAATCATGACCCCCGGGGCTAGGATGGGGCCAAAATGGCCGACCCAAGTTTTACATAGGAATATATAGGAAAAATCTTTAAAAATCTTCTTCTCAAGAACCACTGGGCCAGGAAAGATGAAACTCTGTGGAATCATCCTCAGGTAGTGTAGATTCAAGTTTATTCAAATCATGACCCCAGGGGTTAGGTTGGGGCCAAAATGGCCGACCCAAGTTTTACATAGGGATATATAGGGAAACCTTTTAAAATCTTCTTTTCAAGTACTTCAAAGCTATGATTTGTGATATTTATATGGAATCATCCTCAGGTAGTGTAGATTCTAGTTTGTTCAAATGATGAACGCCTGGAGGGGGGTGTGGAGTAAATTCAAGCCTGATGTGCTCAGGTGAGCGCTGTGGCCCCTGGGCCTCTTGTTTATACCTGTCTGCAAGTTGAGGCATTTGATATTTTCAGAGTTGTGTTGTTTCTTCTTCCATATGGGTGACAATTCAAATGAATAAATTGTTCTTAGGAAACCAAAATCTTCTTAACCCCCTCAATGATATAGTTCAACTAAATATTCATACTAGTAAATGTATATGAATTTTAATGTACCCACTGTGTCTGCCAAGTATAGACATAAAGAAAGTAACAAGGGGCAGAAAAAACCTATAGTTCGATACGTTCTAGTAATGTAGTACAAACATAATTTTTAATGTATAATATTATAAGACAATATGGGTGACAGCAGTGTAATGGAAAGTTAACTGAAATATCTCACAGGCACTTGGGGGCTGGACCCCCTTTCCATTTCTCTTCCTTTTGAAATCTGGGGTCGACAAACCTTTTTCGTATTTTGGTAGTCTACTAAGCATTACTTGGTATAGATAATGTAACCTTTTGTCTCTATAAGCCGTTTTTAAATATATCGTTTTAGACTGATACATAAAAGAAAGCTTTTTTTATGTACATATATCAGCGAAAATGCAAAAATGATATACTAGTATTTAAAAACTTATAAAGACAAAAGGGTAACGTTATCCATACCAAGTAGTGCACATTAGACTACCAAAATAGGAAAAATAGGTGTGTCGACCCCAGATTTAATATAAAAAAAAAGGGGGGGGGGCAGCCCGTTCTTGTGAAACATCCAAGGATTAATTAAATCTCTGAAAGTAGATATACTTGTCTGTATATATGCCAGTGCTGTAAATAACATCATTTTGCCCTCTATAAAATTCAATGTGAGCAGTTCCCTAGAAATTGATTGATTGTACACTGTATATTGTTTAACGTCCCTCTCGAGAATTTTTCAATCATATGGAGACGCCACCACTTGCCGGTGGAGAGCTGCAAATTTTGTCCTATACTCGACACTTAGGGCCATTGAGCAGTGAGGGGTATTTTTCGTGCCAGCACCTACTGCGACTCGGGACCTCGGTTTATACGGTCTCATCCGAAGGACCGGCGGTCTCCACGTCCCATAGTGGGATTCGAGCCGGCGACGTAAGGATAAGGATAGGCTCCTTACTTTGCGACTCTAGAGCAGACGCTCTTACCACTGCGCCACGCGGGGGACTCCCTAGAAATTAAAATGAATGGACTAATAATTCTCATTTTCCCAATTGTTAGTCAATTGAGCTTATCAATGCGTTGAAAGCATTTTCAGTTTTCTGTAAACCCCTGAAAATATAAGACCAATCAGAAAATTTTTTATCCATATTATAATTAAACAACTTTAAAAATGTTTATTGAAGGAATAAGCAAGATTTTAGCAGCCGCCAAATCATTCTAGAGTAAGGAATAAGTGTAGATAGTAAGCACATATAAAGCAAATAAATCTTTACCAACTTCTATACTCTTTGAGTCTCTGTCAAGTAAAAAAAAATACAAATTGGGGAAGGAAAAACATTGATTTTTTTACATAGATATTCGCCAAAGAATTTACTATAAATCTTACAACAGCATTACAATTTAGTAATAAATTCAGGACTTGTTACGTCCAATTTTAATTCCGGTAGAAATTAAACCGAATATATTTATAATTGTGTAGAAGTTACTCATGCACATATATATGGATTGGATGGGTAACCAAAATTTATTTCTGGCACTATAGGAACTAATCTGGCGGCCGCCACATTAGAAAAAGAATTAACTGGCAATGCCGTTTTTTAAGCACAGCAAGGTCAGTTTAATCATATTGATATCGAACATCCCCATGTTATATAGATTCCAGCTGATTATAACCCCTTTAGGGTAAGGTGGGGCATTCCCGCAATACGGGGTGAATATGGCTGGAGAAGAAAAAAGAATAAGGGTACATGTACCCCTAAAATTGTCCTGACGAAAAACAAAGTACCAGTGTGATTCTGGTGAGCGTTGTGGTTCATCAACCTCTTGTTTTGAGCTGGCATGGAATCCTTCCTCTGTTCCATACAATCACACTTACATCCCTTGCTCTAGAAAAATTCCTTAATCCGCCGTTCGTTTTCCACCAAGTTTACAAAGCCAAGCACATTCAATTCAAATAAATCGTAGACCAAAATTTACTTCTAGAATTATTTTGGCAGGAAAATAAATAAGTTGTTCTAAATAACAAAAAAGTATTTTGAGTTTGTTTTTGGCATATATTTTTCGCAGGTTCATTTCTGTCATACATCAAATGTCAGTAACCTCTTCTGGAACATCTCATTGTGTGACCTGGATTTAAATTAAGAATGATGAATTAAATAATCAATGATTAATGTTTTGTTTTTATTCAAATAACATAAATATAACAGTATAGAAAACAACCATAACTTTTTCTTTCATTATAAGAATTTTGTATTGGAGCAAAAGAGTTGTGGTTTTTCAGGCCCATGGGAAGCCACCCCCCTCCCCCCGCCCGTGCCACAGGTTCTATTTTCTAGATGAAAGAAAAATCATAATCTTGTTTGAATGAAATTTCTTGAGTTTTCTTGTGAAAATTAGTGGTTGAAGAAATACACGCACATTTCTTCAGAACGGGGAAAGTGGCTTATTGTATCACCAATCTGCAATGAAAGAAGCTATCGATTGTGTTTTTTATATGCTATTTGAAAGACGCTAGAGTTTCTGATTGAAAATATCTACGCAGATTTTTGAGATCATGTCTTTAATCAATCTATCGGAATGCTCATGGACACTAATTGAGTCCCATTTTTGGCAGACCTTTTTTTATTCACATAAAGCAAAATTTATTATTTAAAAAACAATATAAATGAGAACAAGAAAACACTTGTTGTGACCTTCAACTCGACATTAAATATATCCACGACATATATATTTTCAATTAAAAAGTTACTTCCATTCCTGTGTCGACTTGATATTGACGTAAAAAATACCACAGAGTATGACATATTTGTTTCATGTTTAGATATTTTATTCGAAAAAGACGTTAATGATAACATAACAACAAAACGTTATGACTTTTAACTTTTCCATAACGTAAAATTTTCTTATATAAGTAGTAATGTACTCTTTTTACCTGATATGGAGTTAAATCGGTACAAAAGACCATGCTGTACGTTGGAACATTTTCTAACACATGACAAGCTTTTGACAAACAAGTTGATGAAACAGGAAATCAACAATCCTATTTAAAGTCAGCATTTTGCAAGTTCTGTGGTCAATACAATAACAATGGTTCCGTCAACAAAAACAATCAATCGATAATCAAGTCGAATGCTGACTAACATTTTTTCAAACTAATTTACTGTCTATTGATTTTTTCCGTATGTCCAGTTGTTACAAGGAACACACG